CTGAAGCTTTACGATAAAGAATGATACAATTAACTAAGACAGTGTCTAATAACCAAAAGAATAATGGAAACCAAGTACGGCGCACTGTTAACTGGCAATTATAATAGCCTCGAAGTTGATCTGCAAGATCAACACCTTCCATAAAATTGTTATAGTCATCAATTACACGAGAAATAGCTAATTCTTTTCGTGACAAGTTACCAAAAACTTGATACACTTTATTCACATTACTACTAGTTGTATGAGGACGATGTCGATTGCGAATAACTTTTCAATCATTACCTATAGCCTCATGAATAGTTGTAAGCATTGTTACAGGACCATTATCAATCCATAATATAGTCAAAACATCATTCGTAACTATTCTACTAAGAGTATTTCAATCAAACAAATTAACATTACTAATTTTTAACTTTTTAGGGAATTTTGATGAATTGGTTCTAACAGTTCCGCATGCCCAATATTATTTTCGTGCAAATGTTTAAAAAGAGGAATACTCGAAAAATAGTTGTCCATATAAATATAGAAAGTTTTATTATGAGGAAGTTGATTTGCTAAATGGCATACAGTGCAACCAGCTTTATTTATACCAGCAATTAATTCTAAGTGTGTATCTTCTTCAACTCGCGAACTAAACATAAATGTATATGTATATCCAGTATCACATAGTGAATAGATTTTATAGCCTTCAGGTATAGGCTTATTCTTCATTTTAACAGTATGCATACTTCGTCCAGAAAAGTGAACCATCATTTCATTGATAGAAACCTGCGAACTAGGTATATAATATTTTTTTAAAGGAATCTCGAAGATGTGAAGCCAATAGCTCAACCTTCGAATACCAAAATAAATATGAATTGTATGAGTTAGAAATATGAAGAAACCGTTTTATTTGTTGAAATCTGTACAATGTCATAAATTGTTTAATATTGTGAATAGCCTTTGTTCATTGGAATTCCATAAATCTACAATACTATTAATTTTATGAATTCCCATATAATTACTAACGAAATCCAAATTTTTAATTCTTTTAAAGACAAAGGTTTCCAAAGCTGACTACCTTTATCTTTTGTCTGCTTTTTTTGTTCATATTTATTGGTATTATTAACGATTACTTGTAAATAATGATCAGTAAAAAAAAGGTAAAACAGCGTAAGTGGGCTAATAATGCCTTGCTCTATTTCATGTGGTAACGTAGTATAACCTTTATAAAGTTCATTAAGGTTTTCCATAGGTTCAAACATTGGCAATTCCGGAAGGGTGAGTGTTTTTTTTGATTTGACATTCTTGCCTTTGTCTGTTCTTTTATTAATATTTTTTTTTGCCCTCCCACCTACTCTATTTTTTTTATTTCGCTTGTGAGTCGTTTCTGAACTTTGTTTATATTCAGAGTCTGTAGTACTATCTTGTTCTTCTAATACAAATAAATCTTTGTTCATATTATCATTGTCTATCACATGGTTAATTATTGTCTCATTATATTTGTTATGCTTAAAGGTAACAAAATATTTAGAATTAGAGAAAGCTTGGTCATCATCATTAATAATGTATTCATTATCAGAAACATTACCATTAACGATATTACTTGTAGTAGCGTGAAACATTTTTTTTTTAATTAGAGTGAAAGAACGAAAAAAACTACATGCTCATTCATATTAAAAAAAGTTCAATAAACTTCCTTTAATATGTAATTAATTTATACTAACATTGTATCATAAATTTTATGCCAACATTATATCATAGATCAATTTAAGTATTACATATGTATATACCTTTATTGTGATACAAGCAATAGGGGGTATAATTAGTAAAATTTTATGGTAGTGCGAAAAATTTACCAGTCATCAGAAATTCGTGGCAAATTTGCCCTGAATACAGTCTAAAAGATAGTTCTACTAGACATATAATATAGTACTTAGAGTTAGTTTGATTTAAATTAAACTTGAAAATAGGTCAATAAAATTAAACTCTTTAACTACTTTATTTGATTGATACTGGGATTGTTTTATTTTTTTATTGCTTCTAATTTTTTTTCTTTATTACCTTCTTAATATGCTACAAACAATATTGTATATTAATATTAGTTTATATTTCTTTTGCAACATTAGTTTAGGCAAAATCTTTGTCTGTAAAGAAATACTGTGACTACAATTTTTTATTGCAAAAATAGTGAAGAAAACCAATAAGTATCTTTGTTATTAATTCCATTTGAGTATTATCAAATGCATTGTAGTATTTAGTATTAAATATGCAACTAGAAATTCTGCACTATAGGTGCTACTAATTATTCTATAAAGTTTAAATTACTCTTTGACTATTTTATATATCATATTATAATAGCTACTTGACACAAATAAGAGTTCAGCTAGTAATGAAGTTATAAATTCAATTGCTATAACCAATTCATCATTTTACTTATAACAAACTTACTATTATTGCTAGGATTATCTAAAAATCAATATATAGAAACAAAAAGATCTTTATCTAACTTGAAGAATTGCTAATTAAGGTAGACTACCAGTAATTGATTTGTTTTAGAGTAATCAGAACCTCAAACATCTCTAATATAAGTCATAATTAATTTGCATAAATTTAAAGGTTTTTGCTACCCCTAAAATCAAGTAAATTTGCTAAAAATTCAATTATTATATATAAAATTAGCCTAATTTGCTAAAAATTAAATTATCACATCTATTTTTAATAAATATAAAATTAAATATACCCTCTATTGGTTTGGAAAATTTTTTATGATTCTTTGCTCTGTAGAGTACAAAAAGCTGAGCTAGGGTACAAAATGCATAATCCAGAAACACGTATAAACTCAATGAACACTAAGGTGAATATTAGAGTAGGAGTGTTAGCATATGCAGACAACACAATGTGATTGACAAACAGTCAAGAAAGCATGCAAAGTACAATCAACATTGCACAAGAGTTTTATAAGTTAAATGATATTGAAATAAACCTAAACAAGACTGAACTCATAGTGTTAAAACTGGGTAAAAGAAAGCATGCACAAGATTTTGCAATCTGGATAGGCAATCCGAGAGTCAAAATTATAGCAAAAGATCCTAAAGAAACTACAAGATTCTTAGAGGTTTGGATATCAATCAAGAACCAAAAGAAATCTAATATATTCAAAGCAAAAAGCTTAGTAGGCAAGATCATGAGCCTACTCAAACACAAACAGATGTATTTGAGCCAGATTATATATATAAACAATGCAATTCTTATACCTACTCTTGAATATAGATTAATGATTTCATGTTTAACTAAAGCATAGTGTAAGCGAATATATCAACCAATAATTCGTCTAATTAAATGGAAAATATCAATGCCTTCCACAACAGCGAATATAATAACAAAACACCCAGAGATAACAAACCTCAAGAGTCTTTGAAACAGACACATGGAGCATCATATATCAGAGCTACTAGTTAGACTAAATACACCAGGTTTATTGGAAGAATCATTGGTAAGAAGACTTAAACAAGGCCAGATAAGAGCAGGATCTTTAAACTATATCTTAACAAACCAGAAAGTATTAGCAAAAAATGAAACAAAAGATCGCAATTTAAGCCTAAGTATATTGCAACAAGCATGTAATCTGGGTTTTGTAATAGAAAAAAATAAAATTACAAAGAGCTGGAATTTAGACATTACACAAATGGTAAATGATAAAGAGATCGCAAGTGTCTTTGAGCATTTAAACATGGCTTATAAGGAAGCGAAAGCAAGCAGCCTAGGCTTAATTTTAGTTTTATAGCTTATTGCAAAGGATAGCAAAACAATGCATATTTGGAATCAAGTCAAACTAGCAGGTGGTTTAGGTTTGAAAGGGAAAAAAGCAGGCTGGTTCACTAAACTAGAAAGTGAAATGCTAAAAAATCCTCTTACACGAGTAGTCAAAAATAGATATAACTGCAAAGCAAACAACATTAATGCACTTAGCCTAGAGATAAAAGAACCAAGTGCTAACAAAAGAATAAAAGAATGAGTTTGCTGGAGAGATGAAACAAATGCAACGCTCAATGTAGAAAAGAATAAAGAAAAAGAAAATGCTTATATAGAAGTTGAAAAATACAAGAAAACAACATATTGTAATAAAAACGAAATGCAGCAGTTATTAGAAATTGATGAAAAAGTAAAACTTTTATGGTTAAATATAGAAAACTCAGAGACATTTCAAATATAGTTCAGAAAACAGAAAAGAGTACAAAGTTGATTTTCGAAAAAAGATACATAGAAGTAGTAGTTGATAAAAAGGAAGAGAAAGTGCTAGTTAAAGCAAAAGAAATAAAAAGAATAAAAGAGAAGAGTAAAATAGATATAAAGTGCGAACATTGGGAAATAGTTTTAGTTAACAGAATAGTTCAGAATGATATAGTTAGATCTAGAATAGCAGAAAGTTTAGAACAAAATAGAGAATTAGATAGTTTACTTTTCTATACAGATGGCTTACTCGGTATTGCTGAGGATGAAAAAAAATTAGTAATAGGATGTGGAGTAATTCAAACCACAGAAACAGGTCAGATTTGCGACAAATATCTTGTGCAACAAAGAGGTGGTTCTCATCTACAAGAGCAGAAATAGTAGCAATATTACTTACATTATTAACTACACCCTGAAAAAGAAGGGTAGAGATATGAACAGATAGTAAAGCAGCAATATTAGCAATCAGAAGGGGCCTAGAGACAGACAAGGTAAAATCTTGGTTGAAGACTAAAAATTGTGATTTGGTAATGACAATTGTAGAGTTGATCAAGACGAAGAAGCTAAATATATACTTTATAAAGATCAAGGGTTACTCAGGCAATATTTTTAATGATCTTGCAGATTTGAAAGCAAAAGAAGGTTTCAAGTTAACAGAGTACCTAAACCTGGAAGCACTATATATAAAAGGTTACAAAATAAGATACATGTGGGAAGGTAAATTAGTTGAAAAGCCTATCTGCTCCTTCATCAAAATGTTAGAAAGAGTGCTATTGAAAGCAGAATAGGCTTTCTTGCATAATATGCATAATGAAACTCATCAAGAAAGAAAGAGTACTCAATCTTGGTCCATGCTACACAACATAATGAGAAGTAAAACCAGACAATAAAACTATACTTTCAAATCAAACACACTACAGCTCTTTGAAGTAAAGTGTATAAACAACATGCTCCTAGTGTTCGAAAAACTCAATCAGAAAAGGCTGAAAACATACAAGACAAACAAATGTATTATATATAAAAAAAAGAAAGAAAACATAGAACACCTGGTGAGCTGTGAAACCTCCTTGAACCTTCTCTGTGATCTAGAGGAGCAAGTAGTAGAAGCAACCTTGCTTGAATTAAAAAGGTAAAAAACATGGAAACAACCAAAGAAGAAGTTTTAACAATGTTAGAAAAAAGATTTCAAATTGAAGAATTACATAGAAAAGAAAGATAGATCAGAGACCTAATTACAAAAGAAGACTTTAATGAGTTAAGACCTCTCTTTAACTCAAATAATCAAGTAAAGAATTTTTTAGATAAACTTTGGAAGAATTGGATGAAGAAAGTATACGAGAGAATATAAATTGCAAGATATAAACTAGTGCAGGAATAGGAGAAAGAAAATGAGATCGTGCCAAAAGATAAAAGAAGATCATACAAAAAGGCAAGAAAGAAAAAGAAAAAGAAGAAACCACCAGATAAACATACTAGAAAAAAAGAAAAAGATAAAAATA